TCCCGCCCCCTTGACCTGTCCGTCCTCCCTGGACTGACCTATCCCCTCCCTAACTCCCCACCTACACTCACCTTTACTGGCTCCATCCCCGCCTCTTCGACCTGTTTGTTTCCTCTCCACCTATCCTCTCCTCTATCCATCTTCTATCCACCTCCCACTCTCTCCCTGTTTATTTCAGAACCCCCTTCCCCTTCCCCTTTTCTGATGAAGGGTCTAGGCCCGAAACGTCAGCCTTTCTGCTCCTATGATGCTGCTTGGCCTGCTGTGTTCATCCAGCCCTGCACCTTGTTGTCTCGGATTCTCCAGCATCTGCAGTTCCTACTATCTCTGATTCAGTCTTAATATCAATTGATCTACATTCCCAAGCATTTGTCGCTAACAAATCCAAATAAAACAACATTTCTTGTCATTAGTGAACCTACCCTTACATCATGAACCCCAGTATTTTTTTCTCATTCTCATACCACTAGCATAGCCTGTAAGTCGCATCGGGGATATTTTTTCGGTGTATGTCCACTAATGTGATAGGGCTGATTGTCCCCTATCTAACACCTTGGTGTACAACTCAAGTTCCTTCTAGTTTTGTAGTTCTTGTTGTTCAGCATCTTTAACTTATCCTCTAGTTTGTTCATGGCCACTGAGTCTTCCCAGTCACATGGATTTCTGGTTATGGTGGTATTCCTGGTTTATACTGTACTTCTTGTCCTTTTTAAACTGTGCCCTTTATCTTGCTTCCTATTGCTTTCTAGACTGCTACTGTCTGACCACCGCCTTCCCATTTGCCACTTCCTTGCCCACCCACCCAGCATGTCCATGCCTCCCTGCTTCCTCAAAGTCACCTGCCCCTCCATCTATGTTTATGTCATCTGCAAGTGTAGCAACAATGCCCTCAGTTTCTTCATCCAGATGGTTAATGCATACCGTAAATAGTTTAGGTCCCAACAATGACCCCTGTAGAACTCCACTAGTCTCAGGCTGCCATCCTGAGAAGACTCTAACATGCTCTCACAAGACTGTTCCCTTATTTCAAGTCAGAGAATTGCTCCTGGAACACTTTGGGCATATATACTCACTTTTCTCTCCTTCCTCCTCCCCTCCAGCCGCTTGTCTTTTTTCTGCGTTGCCTCTATTTATTCTCCCTGTAATATTAAAGTCACAGGGAATACATACTACTGCATCCTGTTTGATAGCAAGTGGTCTGAGCTTGCAATCAAACCGAAGTCCTTCAGTTCATGCCACATCACTCCCTGCAGACTTTAGCAGCTTTAAAGGACTGTACTAAACACCAAACATGTCAAGAAATGCAGTAAAAGGTCAGTAGAAATCAATCAGCAACAAATGAAAAAGAAGGCACTCTTGCCTTCATTGCTCAGAACATTGAGTATAGGAGTTGGTACATCGTGTTGCAGCTGTACAGGATATTGGTGAAGGCACTTTTAGAATGTTGCATACAATTCCGGTCGCCCTTCTATAGGAAGGATATTGATAAACTTGAGAGGGTGCAGAAAAGATTTACAAGGATGTTGCTGGTACTGGAGGGTGTGAGTTATAGGGAGTGGCTGAATAGACTGGGTTTACCTATCCTGAAGTGCCAGAGGCTGAGGGATGACCTTATGAAGGTTTATAAAATCATGAGAGACATGGATAGGGTGAATAGCCAAGGCCTTTTCCATAGGGTGGAGGGAATCCAAAACTAGAGGGCACAGGTTTAAGTGACAGATTTAAAAAGGACCTGAGGGGTAACTTTTTCACGCAGAGGGTGGTGTGTGCATGGAATGAGCTTCCAGAAGAAGTGGTGGAGACTGGTATAATTACAACATTTAAAAATCATCTGGATAGGTATATGAACAGGAAGGGCTTAGAGGAATATGGGCCAAATGCTGGCAAATTGTATTAGGTCAGATTGTGATGTCCGGTCAGCGTGGATGAATTGGACCAAAGGGTCTATTTCTGTGCTGTATAACTCTATGACTGTAAAAACGTGAAAGTAGTTGAGGCAATAGACTGCTAGAGGTGTCATTGCTATTGTTGAACATTCAATTGGTAGTGTGAGATTTTGCACGAGCAGGATCTGGGCATTACTGGCTAGGCCAGAATTCATTGTTCATCCCTAGTTGCCCTTGAGAAAGTGATGAAGAGTTATCTTCTTGAACTGCTGCAGTCCATTTGTTGGAGGTGCATCAACAATGCCTTTAGGGAGGGAGTTCCAGGATTTTAACCCAGCAATACTGAAGGAATGGAAATATAAATGATGTCAAGCTTCTTGAGTGTTATTGGAGCTGCACTTATAGAGTCATAGAGCACAGAAACAGACACTTCGGTCCAACTTGTCCATGCCAACCAAGTTTCCCAAACTAAACTAGTCCCACTTGCCTGCATTAGGCCCAGATCCCTCTAAACCTTTCCTATCATGTACCTATCCAAACGTCTTTTAAATGTTGTCACTGTACCTGCATCTACCACTTCCTCTGGCAGTTCATTCCACATACGAACCACGCTCTGTGTGAAAAAGTTGCCAGTCAGATCCCTTTTAAATTTTTCTCCTCTCACCCTAAAACTATGTCCTCCAGTTTTGAACTCACCCACCCAAGGGAAAAGACCTTTGCTATTCACCTTATCTATGCCCCTCATGATTTGATAAATCTCTATAAGGTCACCCTTCAACCTTGTACATTCGAGGGAAAAATGTCCCAGCCTACCCAGCCTCTCCTTATGACTCAAACCCTCCAAATCCAGCAACATCCTGGTAGATATTTTCTGAACCCTCTCTAATTTAATAATATCCTTCTTATAGCAGGGCAACCAGTACAATACACTGTACTCCAAAAGTGGTCTCACCAATGTCCACCATGCTTTGGCCCACCATGTCTATGCTGAGCAACAAACACTAAACTATACTAATCCAATTTGCCTGCATTTGGTCCATAGCCTACTATGCCCTGGCATTTTAAGTGTTCATCCGAATGCTTCTAAAATGTTGCAATAGTACCTGCCTCCACTACCTGGTCAGGTATCACGTTCCATATATCCATCTTTCCTCAGATCTCCCCCCAAAACCACTTTCACCGCACTTCAAACCTACACCCTCCGGCCTTAGACCGGCTGTCCCCCATGGGGAAGAGATCTCATGATTTACTCTGTCTATGCCTCTCATAATTTTGTATGCCTCAATCAGATCCCCCCCTTAGTCTCCTCTGCTCGAAAGTAAACAAACCCACCATATCTAATCTCTCCTCATAACTGAAACTTTTCATCCCAGGCAACATTCTGGTGAAAATATGATGTGGATGGTGTCTCTACACTGCATTCATACTATTGCATCTTTTAAAAAATGGTTGAAACTGTCAGAAGCACCACAGTAATACCATGAGCAAAAGTGGACAGTTTTTTTACAAGTGAGGACAGACAAGTGCAGTTCAAAACTTTAGCAGCTTCAGAAGTCGTCTTTTCTGCTTACATGTCACAGTATTATACTTGTGCTTTTAGTTCCTTTGTTACGTTGCCTGAAGATTTAAATGATGCGCTGAGATGATCACCTGTATTTTGCCCGTGGTAAAATTTAAAGTGTCCCCATTCTTCAGAATTACGTTAGATTTAAATTTCATTGTCATGTGTACTCAAGTACAGGAGTGCAGGGAAAAGTGTATAATGTCACAACACACAGTGCTATCTTAGGTACAAAGGTACAAAAAACTTAGGTACAAACTAGTAAAAGAAACAAAGTTAAAAAGTTAAGCATTACCTTCAGAGAATAGGTAGAAAAGTAAAAAAAAGTAATAGCTTACATTAAAGTCCTTCTTAATATAAACTAGAAAAATAGAAGAATAAGATTAAAAGTTCAACAGCCTTTGATGAGTCCTCCTTCTAGCTCACTCTTCGGGAGACCTCAGCTGCCTGTTCTTGACGATGCTGCTACGGATACTGAGGGACCTCCCTCATTGCTTGCTCTTCCTGCATTGGGCCATGATGCCATCACTGCTGCTGCTACTGAAGCTGCTGCCTCCCTGATCCCTCCTACTTCCCCAGAACGGTCCCGGGCAGAACTCACTCACATGCTGAGATACCACCACACCGAGCCGAGAGTCTGTGCCAAAAGACCATCACAGGATGCTGAGAGACCGGGCCGAGATGCCACCATGTCGAGCTGAGAGACTACCAGGAGAAACCCAGCTGAGAGACTGCTATGGGCACGGCGCCAAGACACCAGGCCAAGAAGCCATCGCTGGGCCAAGTGATTGCCATGTGCCGCCGAGAAACTGGGCTGACAGACCGCCACAGGCAACCAGAGACCAGGCCAAAGTACCACCAGGCCTAGAGACCACCATGGGCCATCGAGAGACCAGGCCAAGATATTATTGGGCCAAAAGACCAGCACAGACTGCCAAGAGATCAGGCCAAGAGATTGCCGCAGGCCGCCAAGAAACCAGGCCAAGGCATCACTGAGCTGAGAGACTACCACAGGCCGCCAAGAGACTGCCAGTAGCCAGGCTGGACCGAGTGGATGCCTTGTCAGGTTCTGACTGAGACCAGCAGTGTAGAAAGAAGAAAAAAAAAAGCAAAAAAAAAACCAGATGGAGTGGATGAGTTCCAGCTGAAGCATCCTACTCCTCTGCCATCTTGGAAATTGTATTATCTTTAAACATAGAGTGTAAAGCACAGAAACACACCATTCAGTAAACTAGAGAGTTGCTACTTTTGTATTCCGTTCAGATCTATAACTTTTTTTAATCTAAGTTCTCATACTATCTCCAGTGAACTGAGTGATCTTGTACTGTCAATAGTGAAGCTGAATTCATAGCATCATGATACTAATTCTCTAGTCTATTCTTTAACTGAGTGCACTGGCACTGAAGCATCCAAGTTGCAAAGTTGTGTCAGTGTTACTTTCTGTAACCCAGACGGAAGTAAATCTTGGCATAATTCTTTACTGCTATATCCCATTGTCTGTATTTTTATTATTATTCTTTTATCAGATGTAGACATCACTGGCTGTACCAGCATTTATTCCCATCCCTCACTGCCCTTGAGATGATAGTGGTGAGCTGCCTTCTTGAACCCCATCAGAAGTCACTTAACAACAGGTTATAGGCCAACAGGTTTATTTGAAATTTCAAGCTTCAGAGCACTTCTGCTTCGTCAGGTGAAGTCTGAAGGAGCAGCTCTCCGAAAGTTTGTGATTTCAAATAAACCTGTTGGATTGTAACCAGGTATTGTGTGAGTTCTGACTTTGTCCACCCGAGTCCAACACCGGCACCTTGACTTCTTGAAAGTCTGCAGTGCTTTTGATCCAGATATACCCATACTGCAATTAGGAAGGGAGTTCTATGATTTTGACCCAACAACAAAATATTTCCAAAACAGGATAGTGAGTGCCTTAGAGGGAAACTTGCAGGTGGTGGTGTTCCGATGTATATACTTGTATTGTTTCTTGGTAGGAGTCATGGGTATGGAAGGTGCTGCCTTAGAAGCCTTGGTGAATTCCTGCAGTGCATTGTGTAGATGGCGCACACTGCTACTGAACATTGGTGGTGGAGGGACTGACTGTTGTAATTGTGGCGCCAATCAAGCAGACTGCATTCATTCAAGCAAGTGGGGTGTATTCCATCACACTCCTGACTTCTGTCTTGTAGATGGGAGCAAGCTTTGATGAGTCAGGAGGTGACTTACTCACTTCAAGATTCCTCTTACCTGCTCTCATATCCACAGTATTAAATAGCTAGTCCAGTTCAATTTCTGGTCAATGGACAATCTCCAGGATGTTATTAATGGGGCATTCAGGGATGGTAACACCATTGAATGTCAAGGAGCAATGGCTAGATTCTCTCTTGTCGGAAATGGCATTTGTCTGGCATTTGTGAGGTGCAAATATTACTTGCCACTTTTCAGCCCAACTCTGGATATTGTCCAGATCTTGTTGCATTTGAAAGTATATGAAGCGTCATGAATGGTGCTGAACATTGTGCAGTCATCAGCGAAATATCTCCACTTCTGACCTTATGATGGAGGGAAGGTAATTGATGAAGCAGCTGAAGATAGTTGGGCCAAGTACACTTTCCTGAGCAACCCCCGCAGAGATGTCCTGGAGCTGAAGTGACTGATCCCCCAACCACTACAACCATTCTGTTTTGTTCCAGGTATGACTCCAACCAGCAATGAATTTTCACCCTGATTCCTATTGACTCAATTTTTGGCGTAGCTCTTTGATATCACACTCTGTCAAATGTGGTGTTGATGTCAAGGGCAGTCAGTCACTGTCACCCCACCTCAATTATACTGCTCTTGCTGTTTCTGTGGCCTTAGTTTTCAGGTGGCTTTAGTGCCCTGCTGACTGATGTAAATAAGAAAAAATAGCTTCCCATGCATAGGAGTGGAGCTAAGTTTGAAGCAATGTGCCGATAATTCGTTGTCATCACAACATCCTTCAAAGTGATGTTATATTTCATGTCAGAACCATAAGACCAACACTATTGTGATCTGGAATTTAAAGTACTGATGTACAAAATTAGGCAACACTCAAGTGATTGTAAAGGATCATGACTATTTCGCTCAGAGATAGTAGGAACTGCAGATGCTGGAGAATCCGAGACAACAAGGTGCAGGGCTGGATGAACACAGCAGGCCAAGCAGCATCATAGGAGCAGAGAGGCTGACGTTTCGGGCCTAGACCCTTCATCAGAAAAGGGGGAGGGGAAGAGGGTTTTGAAATAAATAGGGAGAGAGTGGGAGGCGGATAGAAGAGGGATAGAGGAGAGGATAGGTGGAGAGGAAACAAACAGGTCGAAGAGGCGGGGATGGAGCCAGGAAAGGTGAGTGTAGGTAGGGAGTTAGGAAGGGGATAGGTCAGTCCAGGGAGGACAGACAGGTCAAGGGGGCGGGATGAGGTTGGTCGGTAGGAGATGGAGGTGCGGCTTGAGGTGGGAGGAGGGGATAGGTGGGAGGAAGAACAGGTTAGGGAGGCAGGGACGAGCTGGACTGGTTTTGGGATGCGGTAGGGGGAGGGGAGATTTTGAAACTTGTGAAATCCACATTGATACCATTGGGCTGCAGGGTTCCCAAGCGGAATATGAGTTGCTGTTCCTGCAACCTTCGGGTGGCATCGTTGTGGCACTGCAGGAGGCCCAGGATGGACATGTCGTCTGAGGAATGGGAGGGGGAGTTGAAATGGTTCGCGACTGGGAGGTACAGTTGTTTGTTGCGAACCGAGCGTAGGTGTTCTGCAAAGCGGTCCCCGAGTCTCCGCTTGGTTTCCCCGATGTAGAGGAAGCCACACCGGGTACATCGGATGCAGTATACCACATTGGCAGATGTGCAGGTGAACATCTGCTTGATGTGGAAAGTCTTCTTGGGGCCTGGGATGGGGGTGAGGGAGGAGGTATGGGGGCAGGTGTAGCACTTCCTGCGGTTGCAGGGAAAAGTGCCGGGTGTGGTGGAGCTGGAGGGGAGTGTGGAGCGGACAAGGGAGTCACGGAGAGAGTTGTCCCTCCGGAAAGCAGATAAGGGTGGGGAGGGAAAGATGTCTTTGGTGGTGGGGTCGGATTGCAGATGGCGGAAGTGTCGGAGGATGATGCGTTGGATCCGGAGGTTGGTGGGGTGGTACGTGAGGACGAGGGGGATTCTTTTTTGGTTTTTATTGCGTGGACGGGGTGTGAGGGATGAGGTGCGGGAGATGTGGGAGACACGGTTGAGGGCGTTCTCGACCACCGAGGAGGGGAAGTTACGGTCCTTGAAAAACGAGGACAACTGAGATGTACGGGAGTGGAATGCCTCATCCTGGGAGCAGATGCGGCGGAGGCGAAGGAATTGGGAATAGGGGATAGCATTTTTGCAGGAAGGTGGGTGGGAGGAGGAGTATTCTAGGTAGCTGTGGGAGTCGGTGGGCTTGAAATGAATATCGGTTTCTAGGTGGTTGCCCGATATGGAGACAGAGAGGTCCAGGAAGGGGAGAGAGGTGTTAGAGATGGTCCAGGTAAACTTAAGGTTGGGGTGGAAGGTGTTAGTGAAGTGTATGAACTGTTCGAGCTCCTCGTGGGAGCACGAGGCAGCGCCGATACAGTCATCAATGTAACGGAGGAAGAGGTGGGGTTTAGGGCCGGTGTAGGTACGGAAGAGGGATTGTTCCACGTAACCTACAAAGAGGCAGGCGTAGCTTGGGCCCATGCGGGTACCCATGGCTACCCCCTTTGTCTGTAGGAAGTGGGAGGAATTGAACGAGAAGTTGTTGAGTGTGAGGACGAGTTCGGCTAAGCGGATGAGGGTATCAGTGGAGGGGGACTGGTCGGGCCTGCGGGACAGGAAGAAGCGGAGGGCCTTGAGGCCATCTGCATGGGGAATGCAGGTGTAGAGGGACTGGACGTCCATGGTAAAGATGAGGTGTTGGGGACCGGGGAATTGGAAGTTCTGGAGGAGGTGGAGGGCGTGGGTGGTGTCACGGACATAGGTAGGGAGTTCCTGGACCAAGGGGGAGAAAATGGAGTCTAGATAGTTGGAGATCAGTTCGGTGGGGCAGGAGCAGGCGGAGACAATGGGTCGACCAGGTCATTCAGGTTTGTGGATTTTGGGAAGGAGATAGAAGCGGGCAGTGCGAGGTTGGGGGACGATGAGGTTGGAGGCCGTGGGTGGGAGGTCACCTGAGGTGATGAGGTTGTGGATGGTTTGCGAGATGATGGTTTGGTGCTCAGGGGTGGGGTCATGATCAAGGGGGCGGTAGGAGGAGGTGTCGGAGAGTTGGCGTCCGGCCTCGGCGATGTAGAGGTCAGTGCGCCATACTACAACTGCGCCTCCCTTGTCCGCGGGTTTTATGGTGAAGTTGGGATTGGAGCGGAGGGAGCGGAGGGCTGCACGTTCTGCGGGTATTTCGCTTCTTACTGGTTCTGCCACTGCCCAAACACTAAACTTTCACTGAACAATAGATATGTAGAGGAGGCCACTGAGCAGTTCTAAAAACAAAGGACAGATTAAATATTTGAAGTACCACATTTGAGAATGTCTCTTAGTATTCATTTCTGAAGCAAAGAATTTTAACCAAAACATTAACCCTTTGTTTTCCTGCTAGGGATGCTGGTTGCCCTTCCATTCATTTGGA